GAAGCTATGAATTTATGTCGAAGAAAACTAAAATAGGTATTAATGGATTGGTCAGGAGGACAGTAGACGGCAGATAAAGTAGGGTTGCTTAACCAGATATCAATGACCATGCTAGTTGATTATGAGTACTTTTCACTGTATATAATTTTGAAAACCTAAACTCCATATTTACTTTAAATCAAGACGAAAGATTAAGAGTCCATCATTGCACATTAAAGAGGGAACAGAGCATAGCAAGACCCAGGCTGAACTTATTGCCAAACAGAATATTTATTATCTGGACTAATTTGAATCAAGACACCATATTGGCAACTAGTGTGAATATTTTTTATATATAACTATTTGGTTTGATTTATTTAACTGTAATTTTATAATTGTTACTATTTGCCCTTATTTGTTTTATAATAATAATAGTGTTTGGGAAAAAAGGAAGAAAGAAGAGGTAAATAATATCCAAAAAGGAGGAGCTACATACTATAGACCAGGGGTGTCCAACTTGCAATGCCTGAAGGGCCAAAACTAAACCTTTGATGTTGTCGCGGGCCATATAATAATTTTGTTACAAGTAATAACAAAATAAAGTGAGGTATAAAAATAATTAAAACACAAAAGAGTATTATTTCTTTTATTGCTTAACAACTACATTTTTTTATAAACGGAAAATTTATTGATAACACTTTTCAATAATCAAGACCAACATTGCAAAAGCAACGAAAAATATGTATCCAATTAGTGTGAGGACTGTGGTCGATTGGCTTCATCCATCAATGAAGAAATGTCCACCTCCAGTTTAGTTGTAGACACTCTCATAAGATGACAAAAGGAAGAATCGGTAAGGTTGCTTCTGTTTTTATTTTTTATGCATTTCATGGAGGAACAAGCACTTTCACATGTATTCCGAACACATTTCACATGTGCTTCCGAACATTGACGTTATTTTCAGTCCAAAATCTCGCAGGTTTGGGAATTTCTTCTTTGACAGTAATTTGAAAAATTAAGGTCCCTTTTCTTGTCTGGTTATAAGAAACATGTCTGCTTGAAGATCACATAATTCAAGCTGTAAGTTGGGTGGTTGATCATCAATGGTTGCTCAAAGAGGGTTATTAAAAAGTAGTACACTGCTTTTGAGACTTTCATTTTCTTCAAATCTTGTATTGAATTCATCAATAACTTGTTCAGTTTGTGATATGCGGGATGAAAACTTAATATTTTTCTCACCGTTGAATTCTTCTGCTATTTGCAGACAGCTAGGAAAGTGTGTCAGGTTGTTCTATTCCAAAGCACGTTTAAACACGTTCAGCTTATTCCGGAATCCGTTTATCATTCCGATCAAATATGAAGCGGTTTCTTCCTTGAAGACTCAAATTTAACATGTTAAGATGATTAGTCAGATTTGTTATAAAAGCTAACTGTCTTAAAATTTCTGGATCCCTAAGTTCCCTGTGTAAAAGAGATCGATTTCCACCTCTAATCATATTTATAATCTTTAGTCACGGTATGGAAAACTTGATCTTCGTTGACTGATTTTCCACATAAAGCTCCCTGATGTATAATACAATGAATTGTTGGGCAAGCGACACCATTCTCTCGAAGCAGACACACTAATCCAATTTTTTTACCTGTCCTTGATGGGGCCTTGTCTGTTGCTATCTTCTTCTTCATGTACCATGTCCTTTCAGAACGTTGGTTACCATCATAGCTATTTTAATTTTATTCACTGCCACCCTAAATAGCATGCTTGTATTTACACCATACCAGTCTCGCAAGTTCTTCAACCATGAGGTTCTTCTTCGTCCTGGACTGCGTTTGCCTGCTATTTTTCCTTGCATGATGTTTTGTAGCAATCTATATTTGGGACCTCTCATTACATGTCCGAAATATTCCAGCTTTCTCTGCTTGATGCTTTTTATGATCTCAGTAGTCTTGCTGAGACGTTCTAGTATTGTGCAGTTACGAATCTTCTCCACCCAGGAAACTTTTAAAATTCTTCTATAGCACCACATTTCGAAAGCCTCAAGGCGATTTAGATCGATTTTATTCACAGTCCAGGACTCGACAGCATAAAGTAAGACCGAGAACACGTAGCAGCGAAGTAGGCGGATCCTTAATGCCAATTTTAGGTCTCTGTTACATAACACCTTGGACATCCTTCTAAAAGCAGCTCTAGCCTGCTCTATTCTGGATCTAATTTCGCCGTGATTTTCTGCATTACAATTTAATTGCTGTCCAAGGTAGACGATTTTATCAACTTGCTCAAGTTTGATATTATTTACATATATAGACGGTTTTATATTCTGTTGTTTACTTATTACGAGTATTTTGGTTTTCCTTATGTTAAGATCCAGACCTGCCTCCCTACAACTCTCAACGACACTATCAAGTAGTGTTTGCAGATCTTCTTGACTAGAAGCTAGGAGTACTGTATCGTCCGCATATCGCAAATTATTGATGACTTCGCCGTTCATAAGTATTCCTTCTTGTTTTTCAGAAAGTGCTTTTCTAAAAATTCTTTCAGAGTAAACGTTAAAAAGCAGGGGTGACAAGAGGCATCCCTGCCGTACTCCTCTTTTAATATTGAGAGCTTGTGATTCCACACCATCTACTAAAACTGATGTTGTTTGATTCCAATACAAATTTGCAATTATTTGAACATCTCTGCCGTCCAAGCCAATGTCTTTTAGAGCTTCGATCAATATAGAGTGGTGTTGCTATGACTGAACATTTATCAAAGCCTCCAATTCTGTCAACTGTTTTCTTCACAGCCTCATAGATGTCTTTTCCTTTTGTTGTTCCATAAAGAAGACAAATATCAAATAACTCCTCTTTACTGGTAAAATCATCAAGAGTAGTGCGCACAAATATTAACAGCTGACTAATATTGGTTTGATCAGTGCTTTAATCCAAACAAAGTGAGAAATATGAACTTTTGTTAACCATGCTAAGCCTAGATTTTTCTACTTGTTCACCCATAGCAACAATCCTTCTTTGTATGGTTTGATGTGAAAGTGGCACTAATTCAAATTTCTCCGCCATTTTAGAATCACCGAAAGCTGTGGTCATTTCAACAGCACCTTTTTTATCAAATTGCCATCAGTGAAAGGTTTTTTTGCCTTTGCCAGCTCAATCGACAAGGCATAAGATGCATGCAAAGAATGCGTTTGAGAGTGTAATATTTTACTGAACATACCAGTTTGCTGTTTAAGCTTTTGCTTCAAATCTGCAACTAGGGCACGCCGACTTTCATTTGTGTAGGTATCATACTTATTTGTATGCACTATTGTGTAATGTCTTCTCACATTATATTCTTTAGGCACTGAAACGACATTCATGCACACTAAGCACTGCAACGTTCCATTATTGTTAGCAATCAAGTAATCAATCTCCCAACTTTCTTTGTAAATTCTGTTCTCACTATCAATGTTCCGTTTTACACTCATTATTGTATAAGTTGAATCAAGACAAAGAATTAATCAAGTTCACTGTTCACTAGCAACGTAATAGATTAGCCGACTAGCCTACGTGTCAGTAGCACACTGGCACGATGGTGGCTGGCGACGGATGGTAAGTCTGAGGTGTGGCCTGCGTGAACTGTGATGCGCAGTAATCAGTGCAGTTCTCATAATGATGGAGAACGAATATATTCGTTACACGTCCGCGAAGCGGCACGCGGTACAGTACTTGTGATGTAAAAACACTGCTACGCCATAAAATATAAAATAAATTAAAAAATATTTTTTCACAGCGGCAGTATTTAAAGAAAATATATGCTTTTCGAAAATCTTACATGGGTCACCATAAATAGCCATCCGGGCCGGATGCGGGCCGCCAGTTGGACAACCCTGCTATAGACCATTACTACAAGGTATTACATGACTGTAAGTGAGAGCGCCCACCAAACTGGCGTGGCAGTGGCAAGTAGCAAGTAGCACGCATCTAGCATGTTATTTTTAAATGTAACCAATGAAAAAAAATTTTTAGAATGAATGACGTCACTATCATTTTGGTGAGCGCTTAATCATTCGTCATTGGTTACATTATGCTAGACGCGTGCTACTTGCTACTAGCCACTGCCACGAAACTTTGGTGGGCGCTCTCCCTTAAGCAAATAATCCAAAGGAAGACAAAACAAGTAAAAAAATTATGTGGGCTCAGAAAATATATGGAAAGTCACGCAAAAAGAGAAATAACACTTTCCGAAACAAAGAAACGAGGTAAGGCGCCAGGCGAGGCCAGAATTGTCATAGAAATGATTAAGAAAGCCGAAAAAGAAATAATCTAAAAAATGTATTATAGAACGAATACATAGAACAAACTACTAATAATAATCTTATATAAAAAGGAGACTGTACATTACACAACTACAGACCAATAAACCTGCTACCCTACATCTATAAGTTACTTATAAATTAAAAAGAAACAGATAGAATTATCAGATTAAAAATAAACTCGAATTCTATCAACCTTTAGGCCGAGCTTTATGTAGAACGGGATACAATACCTGTACCTGTAACCACCTCCTAACAGTCAAAATCCTCATTAAAAGAAAACACAACCTACCACTAAATATCACTTTTGTCGAATAGGAAAAAGCGTTCTACCGTCGAACAATGTTACATTTAAAAATGCTACGACTTCTGGTCAAATTCTAAATTACCTGAAACGTGGCAAACGGCACAAGTTATATCATTCTATAAAAGAGCTCAATAAAAAATCGAAAACTATAGAGGCATCAATCTATGGAATGCAATGTATAAAATATACTCCAAAGAGATGAGAGGAGTAGTTAATAAATATTTTGTAGGTATTTTAACACGGCACTCTTGCAACAACATAAGAATAAAAAGAAAATATATTAAACTTAAAGTAATGACGTAAATAAAGCCTTCTTTATTTGAATCCAACTAGTAAGGTAAACTACTAAATAATTTGTTATTATCTTAATTAATTTGTTATTTTTAAAAATGTCTATTTCTAATAATAGAAATTAAAAAAATACTTACTAGGTACACCAGAGACAAGTCTTAAAGGTCGGAGAACTCTAAAAGCTCGAAGAGCTTTAACGTCGAAAGTTTCTTTACTGAGGTTTTGCAATACAGTAGTAATTAATCTGAAAGAGAAATAAACAATATATTATATCTACATTGTGGTAAAATTGTTATTACATATTAGTTTTATTTAATGAAACTTTAAATAAATTTTCCAAAATTGTAAATCAATTCTAAACAAATCTGAAATAATCATAATATTTTATAGTAAATTACAATATATAGTTCGTTATTTTATTTTTCTATAAATGCTTGCTTTGCATGTTGGATATTTTTAAATCGCGACATATATGAGTATTATGAAAACTGATGAGCCTCTGAGTGCCTTAAGCGAGTAAAGAAAAAAGCTGAAAAAATCTTAGACAGCTTTTTGAAGGTTCTAAAAGATATATAAGAGACCGCTGATGATAAAAAATCCTTGAATATGTACAGCTGATTTGGTTTTTTTGTTTTTAATCAATCATCTCCATCATCATAAGTGGCTCGACAATCCGTTGTGAATCTTCCTTCCATCTTCTGATAAGTGCGTCCAGCTCATCTAAGTCTCTGCATCTAAGTGGTATATTTGACGCCATAGCCCCTTTTGCATTTACGGCCCCAAAAATCGTTCTCAGAATTTTCTTCTGAAAAATACCAAGAAGTCTTTCATAATTTTGAGATAAGGTAAACGTTTCAGCCCCATTTATCAAAACCGGTCTTATTAAGGTCTTGCCCAATATTTCAACCGATTTCTGTAACGCAGTATCTTGTATATTTGCCATAGTTGGTTAATGTCTTCTTCTTTTTCTAAGTTTTCTGTCCTTATTTGATCTTCTATTTGCTGTTTGTATACATTTGCAATGTCGGGATCTTTTAGTTTATTAATGTCGATTTTTTTTCTCCTTTTCCGATCTCCTTTTTTAAATTGGATATTCTCTCTTTAAATCGTGCTTTAACTAAATAGTGATCACTAGCTATGTTTGCTCCTCTAAAAAACCTAACATCTAATAAGTTAGAGCAGTGTCTTGCATCGATGATTATATGATCTATTTGGTTAATCGTTTCATTATCAGGAGATTTCCAAGTTCCCTTATGTATATCTTTATGGGAAAATCGTGTCTCAGCCATTACCGTGTTCTTAGATATCCCAAAGTTTATGATTCTGCGACCGTTATCATTAATGTCGTGACATATTATCGTGCACGTTGCGTTTCCAGCCCGTAGCGTTTAGTTTCCGAAAAATAGAATTTAAATGGTTTTAAATATGAACAATTCACATTGTCCGTAACGTATCGATTCAGGCACCAAACGTTTCCGTTCAGTATTTTTGAATACACTATTTTACGGATGCCGACAGCTACGGAACGAGTCGAAACCTGTTGGTACGGATAATGTGAATTAGGGGCCTGTCGTTTTCTCCTCGTTTGTTTATTTAAGATTTGTTTGATTTTAATACAGAATATTTAAAAAAATAATTTTCGAGACTATTTTGTCATTTATGCATGTGTTTTCATTGCTTTGTGACAATTAATCACGGAAGTGATAAACAATTAGGACTTTTGCACGGAAGTGATATCTCTTCTTTTTTAAAAATACTCTTTGGTTTGATATGTATGGCTTCGTTAAATGTAGTATTTTGTTTTTTTAACTAAAGGTGTAATTAAATTTAAAATATATTCAAACTAAATCCTATTCATTCTAAAATATCCATAATATTTTCCATCGTCATCAATTAATTATTTGTATAAAGTCCAGTATTCACCTTCCTTTTTTAAATGCTCTAAGCATTGGATGTACTTCAAACCTTCTTTTTACTACAGTTTTTCTTTCTTCATCGTTAAGTAGAAGAGCAATTGCACATAATTTTTGTCACGAAAAGCGGGAACATATCTTCACCGCAACAAACTGAAACGTTCTATGTATAAAAATGTGAACGCGCAGTCCGATTGATGGACTCGAAATGCTACGTGCCGGAAACTATACGTACATGATAATATGCCGCGACCTTTAGAGTCTACGTGTAGGCTCTCTTTTCCGATGGTGGACAAAAATATGTACTCTCTTCCGACTTTGGCATTAAAGTCTCTTGCTATTATTTTGTGTCATTTTTTGGGCACTCATCGTAATCTCGGTCTAGTATCTCATAGAACATGTCTTTTTCATCATCCTCTTTCTCTTCGTAGGAGCATGGATGCTAATAATGCTAATATTAGCGAACTTCCCTTTAAGTCTTATTCGACATATCCTATGATCAATAGCTTTGAAATGAATTACACTATGTTTGACCTTGCTGCTTACAATAAATCCTGTACCAAATTCGTGTCGGGTAGGATGTCCACTGTAGTAAATATGGCAGTTATTTTTTTTTTTCAGGATGTCTGAGCTTCTTCTTATTTGTGTACCGTGCTTGTATTCAAGCGTTAGCTATCGTCATATTGACAAGCTGTTGAAATGATTTTCGGTCGGCAGCTAGATGAAACAGTTCCTCGACTGTTCGACCTGTCCATTGTCTAATGTTACGCACATTACGCAGCCAGGACAGTTGTTTTCTTCCGACCCAACGTTTTCATTCGATTTTGCCCTGAATGATTAACCGGAGTAAGCGATATTTAGGTACTCTCATTATATGACCGAAGTATTGGACCTTTCTCATTTTGATGATGTTGATCAATGCTCGCTCTTTGTGCACGGTCTCTAGCACACTTTCGATAGATATGTGTGCCCTCCACAGGATTCTGAGCATGCGACGGTAACACCATAACTCAAACGCTTCTAATTTGTTAAGATTTTTTATTTTTGTTGTCCAAGTTTCACATCCATAGAACAAAGTGGACCAGACGTAGCACTCCAGTACTCTTAGACGTGTGGTCAACTACAGACTTCTACTGCATAATAGCTCTACTGAGCTAGTCCACCTAATTTCCTGTCAAGCAATGATATCTCTTTGGCTTTATTCATTTTTTGTATGAGCAGAGCCGAGGCTCTAGGCTCGAAAGGAAACGTAAAAAAATTATTTTTTCTATAAAACGTTTCTTATACATTTTAGAAAAAAAATGGTTCAAATAACAGTTGTAGACATTAAAAAGTTCTTATGCGTTGTACATTTTGCGTAGTTAACTTTTGTCTTTGTTTTTATCAGTACACATATATTGATATCCCTTTTGTCAAGTTCCGATAACACTTTCTTTTGTTTATTTATGATACCTTGTACGTTACATGTACATTTTCAATATCCGTTTCTGTTGCAATTTTCGTCGTAGTTCGTTTTTCGAATGACTTGCTCGAGTTGCTAGTACGTTGATCAAACCCTCATACTTAAAGAACCAGAATTTTTGTCAGAGGTTTTTTCACTTAGCCGACAAAATGTTTATATGATAATATATAGAGCGTTATATTTAAAATAAGGAGGTTTTAGTCAACTTCCAGAATAACCGGAAGTGCTAGATGGCTCTAAAAATTTTAGATGTTGATTAAACATATCTAAAAATCCCTAACTCCCAAATTTTCAGATATAAATTATGTCAAGTTTTTCTCAAACATCTAGTTAGAATTATCTAAGAATCACCCTGTACGTGTGAATGATGTTATTAGAAGATGTACGATAAATCCTGGTAATATATACTGATGATATGATGCTGGAAAATAAAGAATAGAAACTAGATCAAAGATAATAACAATGTTGCCAGTTTGTCGCACCATAATATTTCAATGCCACCTGTCAAAACCAGCAAGATAACCAAAAATTTCACAAAATGAGTATGTCTGTGGACATTTTATCTTTAAAATTAAATTCTAAATTTTTCTTTCTAATACTAAATTCTAAATTCTTAATTTTTCATCTCTTAATTTGATCCCCAATTGCAATTACGACATTGTTGCCTCAGTTATTTTGTGGCAACAATGACGTAATTGCAATTGGGGATCAAATTTAGGGATGAAAAATTAAGAATTCATTTCGAATGTGTAGTAGAGTTACAGTATATCACGGTAGCTAATTGTAACTGCAATACTAATCCAGTAACTTCATTATGCTTCATTGCATGAGGTATTAAGTAAAATAATTTTATATTTTTGGCTCTCCTGAAAAGTTACACTTTTATAGTTGCGTCATTGTTCCACCGGGCAGCGAATACTCCAGTCGTCAGAGACGAAAATGTCACTGAACCTCTACAAATTATACGAACACGCTGAATTTTGTTGAGAATAATAATTTTGGGACCCCAAAAAAGATGCAAAAAAGTTTACCACTTTTACCCTTGGGCTTCCTTCTAAAACCCCCCTCGAAGGGGGGTAAAAATGCAAAAAAATTGTTTTACCAAAAATGTGTACATCGTAGAAAAAAATTTTTCAAATAAAAAATGAAGCTGAGATCATTTTAAACAAAAATGTTAATAGGCGTTTTTTGTATAGAATAAACCGTTCACTTAGAAACAACGCTTAAAGCGACCGTCGATTTTGCCTGTCAGTTACGCGCGCCAATTCAATGTTCAATAAAATTTGTTTTAACAAAAAATGTAAGGCATTTGAAATATGCTTAAAACAAGTTGGATTTAAACTTTCTTACAACAGACGATCTAAAACATTTAAAACTTTTTTCTCAATTACTCTAGTACGTTTTTCAAAGTAACAAGACTACTGCAATAATCTACACCTAAAACAGTCGCGCCATGTTAATTTCTTTAACACCTTTATAAAAACTGAGTTTATTTCTGATTGTGCCGTAAATGATTGTGTGCCACATCTTGTTCATAAATTATTATAGAAACATTACCCAAACTTTAAATATTCATTTTGAGATGTTCTATAAACTCCATTAGGCAGATTTTTAAAGTTTATAGATTAATTTTGTTTAAATTTGTTATACACAAATTAATTCACAACTTTTTAGTGCAATTTTTAATGTTAATTGTTATAATTGGCTTAGTAATGAAGATAAAAAAATTTGTAGAAAAAAAAAAGTTTTTTTAAAGCTATACAATTACCTTTAAAATAAGGGGGCTTGAAAGTTAATTGCACGTATGAAAGCTGAGTTATAATTGGAAAAAGCCCCATCGTATGCCTATTTTGCAAATGTTTTTTATAT